CCATGTGATTGGCTGATTAGAAATTAAGTGTTAACGAGCAGTTGGACAGGTGTACCTAATAAAGTGGCCGGTGAGTGTATAGTATGTTTGTTTTTCTTTTTTTATTCTTTTTACTCCAAATCTCTGACACAGCTTTCTTTCTTTCTTTCTTTCTTTATTGAGCATCTGGAGGAGGAGACGAGGAGGGATCAGGAGCACAAAGTGAAGCTGCAATCTGTAATCAAGCCTTCAACATTAACACAGCTTTCACCGTTCCACACTTCGTCCTCGGGAAGTTCTGCCCCGACTCTTTTATCTTCTCTCCTGCTGCTTCATCTGCAGCTCCCAGCTGCTGTTATTTTTTTTTTTACCTACAGCTTACGGCAGGACATTTCTTAGTCAAAACTCACTTTTAGATATCTAGAATGCAATCACAGATAGTCAGACGACTTTATGTTAACATGGCCTGCCACACGCAGYCTCGTGTGCAATTTTTCTTTCAAAATAAAGGGTTATGACCAGCCAAAACGCAACGTCACCATTTTATTTTGAAATGATCGTAAACGTATTACTGAACTCACAGCTGAAYGATGGAGAAGTCACAGATTTTATTAGATTACCGTATATAGAAACATTTGATGTCTCACTCAAAAGAACAAATTCCTGATTGTTCACGGTTTTAATGTTATTGTGTTTATTATTTTGAATCCAGTTTCTTCTCCTCTGTCACTGCTGGGCTCTCAGGTGAGGAAAGGAATCGAGGATGAAGGAATTAAAAAAAGGAGGAGGAGTTTGTGGGTTCTTACTTGTTGGTGCACTCCAGCGTCTCCACCTTCCTGCGCAGCTCGTTGTTTTCGTTGGAGCAYGTCTCCACCCTGTGGTCAAAGAGCGACACTACAGCTTTTACTCAGTTCACACGTTTGTCTTCAGCGTAAACAGRTTAGATTAATATTTGCTTCCTACAACACTTTTAATCTGATATTTATTTACAGGGGTAACAGGTGCTTTTTCCACCTCGTTAACTCTCAACAGGAAGTGAATAAGGAAAGATAAATTTAAGACTTTTTAAGACTTTTTAATGCCAAGTGAAGTTAAATTTAATACTAATTTTACAACAAAAACAGAAGACAAAAAACTAAAAACTGTCAGAAACTCATGAATCAAAGTATTTTTGGTTGAAGTATTCAAATACTGCTAATAGACCAATTATTTTATCCATATCTAATTATAGCAGAAACAKTCTYAGCAGTCAGTTTTAAACTTAATTTAATTCCAGGAAATCCTCTAACGACCCACAATTTGGAGTCTTAGGACCCACAGTGGGGTCTTAACCCCAATTTGCTGTAGATGAAACCTTAAATTGCCTACGATATCAAGTTTTTGTGAGAAATAGGAATGCATTTTTGAAAAGACAACATTATTAACATATTATAAAACAAATTTCACGTCGCTCAGATGAACAGCTGTTGAGATATTTGCATGTGAAGCAACAGGAAGTGATGTCAAAGAGGACTGTCTGCATGTAAATGTTTAAAAAAATAAATGTTACCAATAATTTTAATATTTGAGATGAATTACAGTCATGCTATTTATAATATGTTAACATTTTTAAGACTTCTGAAAGACTGATTTAAGACATTTTAAGGTTAATTAAGGCCTTATTTTTGGATTGATGAATTTAATGCCTTATAAGACTTTTTAAGGATCTGCGGGAACCCTGAAATATGCTCTGATGATGTTGTGGGATCCGATACAGAACTTTATGATTTAAAGTGTTTATTTTGATATTTTCATTCATGTCAAGAAAAAAAAACGGACTTACTTCTTCTCCAGAGCATCCATGTACTCCTTCTTCTTTCTGCGACTCTCCTGAGCTGAAATCTGAGAAAAAAGAGAAAACAGAAACGTTAGAATCATCTCCAACCTCCATTGGATTTTAATGATGGACGTGTTCCCACCTTGTTCTTGATCTTCCTGCGGATCTTCTTCAGAGCCTTCTCCTCAGCTTTCGTCAGAGGCAGTTTGGTTGGAACGGGGTAACCTTCGGCCACCAGCGTCCGGCGCTCCTCCTCGGTCAGAATGAGCGGGCCGGACCCCTGCAGCTTCTGCAGGACAAGAGAAGAAAGATTACCCATTGTTATTGTAGTATCTGGGTTGTACAGTGATGTTTATTTAGCTTTTTTTTTTAATCCCGTGTGACGACATAAAGCAGCAGATTAGAGCCACGAAGTTAAAAGGTCGTAAAGATGGGCGGAGCTTACGTGAGGAGCGGTGAGCAGGGGGGAGTTGGACAGGGAGGACGTGGCGCGAGGCGACACTTTGGCGCTGCTCTGTGAGGGCGGRGGGCTGGTGGGGGAGGTGGGGCAGGACAGACCTGGCGTGGCATGGACGGGGCTCTGGCTGCCCTCCGAGTCGCTGCCGTGGGAACTCGGAGGGGTGGGGGGCATCTGCAGGGACTCCTGACCTGAAACACACAGGAGGGGGGGTCACACACTCTGGGGTGTAAAACTTCATTTAAAGGTTAAAACTATTTTAAAAGTATTTAAGGAGGATATTTAATCTAATTTAGATAAATACAGAGGGGTCCRCAAAGATTTTAAGCTGCTCGTGAGAATGCTGAGTCAGCATTGTTTTCCGGTCTTTTTTTTTTGCCTCTTTACAGATACTTTATAACCCTTCATATATCAAAACTTTCAGCTCATTCAGGAGATGGACATCATGACTTTTTGTTTTTTAAACTATAAAACCTTTTGAGATATTTAAAATTATTCGTTATACTTTCTGTATAGAAACAAGATATAAAAATATTCTCTTCCATATCAGCTTCACCTTATATCCTATTTTTTCTTAAGCTTTTCATTTAGCTTTCAACCACTTTTAGTTTTCAGCTGCCTTTTTTTAATTTGGCTTGTAGGATTTTGCTCCTTTTAGAAAGCTTTTCACGTCTTTTAGCTTTTAGCTACTGTTCTGCTTCCTTTGGATTTAAACTGGCCTTTCACTACTTATTTACTTTTAACTCTTTTTTTAACCTTTAACAACTAATTTTCAGCTTYTTCTGTAAATTTCRGCCACATTTTGCAGAAAATGTAAACGTCATTAAGAAGCTGTGGTTACAGTAAGTGGCCAGCAGGGGGACTCAGAGCACAGTGAATACACAGCATCAGTGTGAATTCAGACCTTTTGGTGAAAGATTGAGGAACTGATCCACTTCATGAGGCTCCAGTTTAATCTCAGGGATTATAATCTCCTCTTTGATCTGGAAACACAGATGTTAAAAGTTATAAAAGGAAAAACAAACACCAAATCCCGCCGTGTCTCCTCTCTCCCACCTTGACGCCTTGGCCCTGGTTGTTGCTGCCGACGGCCGTCTGCGCTGCGGGGGCCACAGCGGGGCCTTTGGGTGCTTGGGGTCCCTCGCAGGAGGACACCGAGAGGGAGATCGTCGGGAGCAGAGAGGACGTTTCACACAAGAGGCTCTCGATGGCCTCGTCCTGCTCCATGGCCCACTCAGCCGAATCTCCGTCCGACTCTGCAGCAGAGCAGACCGGCTCGTTTTAGTGTTTTATTCTCAGAAACATCAGCTGAATAAAGACGCGACGAGGGGAGTGGGGGGCGGGGTTCACCTGCTTCGCTGCCGTGCTCTCCGGTCAGGTGCGAGAGCGGCGACTGGGGCCGGCTGTCGCCGCACAGCGAGTAGCTGTGCTCGGCGGTGATGTGCGGGGGCAGAGGGGACGACGGGGACAAGTCGCCGCCGTCCTCCCCCTCCATGGACTCCACGCCGTACTTCTCCCCGGACAGGAAGGGGTCGCTGAGCAGCTGGCCCAGCAAAGCATCCTGGGAGAGGTCATCCAGGAGCTCAGAGAAGTGCTGCGAGCGAAAAGGTGAAAAAACAAACAAGAAGGGAGTTAAAACAAAACCACACCAGGTCTGTAATTAGTTACTTGCCCCGCCCCCTTCAGGMTAAACTAAAACAACTAATCAGACCCAGTCTCATCCACTAATCATCATTTCTCTGTTTGTCTGCGACTCTCACACACTAACGTGAACACACACACATCCTCCCCCTTCACCACATTCCTTCATCRCCCGCCTCCATCTGCAGGTGTTATGACTGACGCGAACAAAAGACCCTGCAGAAAACACCCACCGTCATCTACAAACATCCATCAAACCCYACACAGCCTACAGATGAAGTTCTGGTTACTTTTGTTGAGTTTATGCTAATGTCTGACTTCACCTGACCAAAATGTTTCATTAACAAGACAACATTCACACAATACATCTGAGGCTAAAAACCAAGAAGTTTCTAGTTTATATTGTCTTTAATATTATCATTTCATAAATCTATTATGAGATAAAAACAGCTCCTAAATCCTCCTGCTTGGTGAGAATGTAGCTGCTGAAAAGGTTTTATGGGTCCATAAAGCTGTAAACCATCAACAGGTTTTTCCTATTGTGGGGGGAAAMGACTGAACCATAAACAAATGATTACAAATAAAACTCTGAGGAAAAAGGGGARTGTTTAGGTGAACTTCTATAGCAGCTGAGGTGAAATCTGATGAGCAGAATTTAAATATTGTCATTACAGACTCGCTCTGCTGCAGGACGCTCCCCAACAGGTCCCGTTCTTCATGTCCGTAAAAACCAACCGCWTCAACCACAGCCTTGATTTTAAGGAATTGCCAACCTAATAAACTTCCAAATAAATAAACCAGTGAGCAAAAAAAGGGACTAATATTCTCTAAAATTCAAAATAAAAGTAAAATAGGTGATGGAAATGTGGTACACCTTCAATTTTTACATCTCAAACTCACTTTAAACTTGCTGAAGTGGGAGTGTCTGAAATGGTAGGAGATTCTTAAAGAGTCAGAAGCCAATTTCAAAGCATTTAGACAATGAAACAAAGTCTAATTTATTTTTGATAACTATAAACAGTGTATTTTTATAACAACCAAAGTAGTTAGTTGATTGTGGTTTAGAATTGAACTATGCGCCTGGAAAATAAATGATACCCCCTTTAAAGATTTATTTCGTAATGACACAACAGCAAACGTTGACAAATAATCACCACAAGAACGCAGAAAGGAATCATTTCTTGTTGAGCTTTTTTAAAAATGGGAGAGGTTCTGTGCTGAAACAAAACCACACCAAAATCTCGAACATTTTCTCCCTGTCATTTCTGCTTGTGGTCATGGTTCGGGACGGGTCGCCAGCTGGGTGGAGCTCAGCACACACGCCCAACAGAACGCTCTTTGTGTCCCCCCCGTGAGAGAGAGAGAGGTGTTGCCTGGGCCCCGGCTGTAATCCGACTCGACCCAGCTGGGACACAGGACCAGTCAGGACCATGAGCCCGAGTGGAGAAACGAGGAGCAGGGCTGAAAAAAGAGCAGCGGAGGCGATCAACAAAGAGGCCATTCTGAATAAAACTACTGTAACGTTAAGACACACATCAGATTAGAATCTTTTGATTGAAGCCGAGAGACGCAGGCAGATTACCAGTCTTCTGCCAAGAAAAAAAAACCTTTGTCAGGGTCTCAGCGGTGCTTTTATTACGTTTGATTCGAAATTAAAGATGAAGACAAAGGACACTAGAATAATTGCATTTCCTGTGTAAATGCTAAACGCTAAATGGTTTTTGCTGAAAGCTGCTAAAGAAGTTGAAAATTTTTAACAGCAAAACTGTTGATACGAGTTAGACTTTTGCGAAAAGTAGAACAAAAGTAAAAAAAAAAGGTAGAAAGGTAGCAAAAAGGGGTAAACAAATCTGAAAAGACCAAAAAAATGAGCTAACGTTAGCAAAAAGAGGCTAAAAGTAGATGAAACAAGTAAAAATAGACAGATGGGAACATGAGATGAGAGTTAAAGTTTTTAAATGAGAAAAAAAAAAAAAAGAAGTGCTAGCGATTTGTTTCGAAATAGCTAAAAAAATTAAACTAGGCTAAAAATTTTCAATTTTGCACAATGAAGAGCACGTTTGTTGAAATAAGCAATAGGAAACTGAAATTATCACAAAAGGTAAACTTTAGCTGAAATAAAGCTCAAATTAGCTAAAAAGTAGCTAAAAACACAAAAAACCAGCTACAAGCAGCCGAAAGCAGCTAATAGAAGCATAACAAGCTTAAATTAGCAGGAAAAGGCACACAAAAATTTAATTTGCAGAAGAATAGCAGCAAAGGTGAAAATAATGGCTAAAAACGCAGGAAAAAAACAACAACAAAAAAAGCTAAATAGAAGGTAAAAGAAGTAAAAGAAACCCAGAACCAGAGCAAAAGGTGAAAACTTCAGTAAAGATTTGTGAGATTTTTGAACGGTTTAAATGATGTTGATAACAGATCCATTCATTTTTAGTTAGAAGAAAAAATGTCAGAAAAAGCTAAACATCTCAAAAAGCAAAAATTGCTTAAGTAGCAAAAGTCTTAGCTGGAATGTCCTGAAGGAGCTGAACGTTTTGATGCATAAAACGTTCTTAGAAATGACAACAGAATTGTGGAATAATGTATGTGCCAAAACGGTAAGAAAGAAAAATGATCTCAATAGTGTCATAGGTTAACAGACTGAGTAAACCTCTACTGCGGTCTAACTTATGGAGATCCAACACAACCAAATGACTTTGAAAAAACACAAAATACACAGAAAAAAACACAAAAATTCCTAGAATTATGTCAGTTCTACAGATATCGCGATTAAATTTGTTTACAACATACTTTGAGCGCGACATCTCAATACTGAATGAGACTGCACTTAATTTTATTTATGCTTGACTAAAACGGCCATAACCAACACTAAACTGATTTTTAGTCAGGTCCAGTATCGCTGCCTGTCTCCTAACCCTGAGGCTTCAGTTTTGAGTCTAGGTTGTGTCAGGAAGAGCATCCGGGTCGATGGCTCCAGTGAGCAGCCAAAAGAACAACATTAACACATGAGGGGAGTAATAGTCCTGCCATAGATTTGTTTTAACCCTCAGAGAGAACAGCTTTAAGCTAAACACAGGAAGGCTTGATGATGCAACTTTCCTCCCTTTAAAAGCCAAACCAGATGTGGAGAAAAAAGAAGAACACTAAGAGTTGCCTAATGGATCTAAAGCCCTCACCGTTGGTTCTGTCAGTGCGTCCAGCTGATTGTGTGTTCTGTACCTTGCCCTGTGTACTCGTCAGATGACAGAACACTCTCTAATAAAACAAACATCCTCAAACGTTCGTATCACGACGAGCCGGAGTGACTCATTAGGGTTTGATTGGGATCCAGATCTTTGGCTTTTTAAACGTAACACTCAACACGTGTCCACCAACCCGCAGAWTAAAGCAAGTGAAAGGCTGAAGGAACGTCTAAAAGTTTACCTGACTGAAAAAAAAGGATTTTATTAACGTTCATTTTAGASAAGTTGAGAAAACGCTCAATTTTTATTTTTTTCATTTCAATCTCGCAACAAGTCTCRGAACCTAATAAACACCTAATCTAATAATTCACCTACGCTTGGTCTATTTCTAATCTCTCAGTTTTGATAGTGAAACAAAAACTTTAMAGATTAGATTAAAAGTTGCTTACATTCATGACACTCCTGTGGCTAAGAGCCAAAGTAACCACAAGTTTGCWAACAATGTGTAGAAGCTGTTATTACACTTTCATGAGCTGCATTATCGTGCCAAATAGCTAAAGCCACCACTCATCTTTTAAATTTGTTTCCAGGGAACCAGGCTTACATCTTATTAAATTGTTCACTGGGACCTTTTTGATGTTCTCACTTGAATATTTGCATTGTTTTTGTCAGCACTGCATTCAACTCTTCTGTTTTCACTCCGGTCCAATAGGTGGYGATGTAGTGCTGGTTTGTCCCACTGAGATAAAGTAGATGGATGAAGTGTCTCTGTCTCTTTGGCTGTGTCCAAAACGGCAGGACGGGTCCTCCGGAGGACCC